TAGGCCAGTGGTTCTCAACCTTCCTAATGCCGCGACCCTTTAATACAGTTCCTCATGTTGTGGTGACCCCCGACCATAAAATTATTTTCGTTACTACTTCATAACTGTAATTTTGCTACTGTTATGAATCGTAATGTAAATATCTGATATGTAGGATGTATTTAGGCAACCCCTGTGAAAGGGCCGTTCGACCACCAAAGGGGTCTCGACCCACAGGTTGAGAACCGCTGGGTTAGGGGGTGATCAGGCTGGCAGGCAGAAGCGGTTAGGGGCAATCAGGCAGGCGAGCGGTTGGGAGCCAGCAGTCCTGGATTGTGAGAGGGATCCCAGATTGGAGAGGGTGCAGGCTGGGCTGAGGGACACCCCCCAGATATATAGATATAGATATATATATCTGTTGCTTTTGTTAATCCTCACCTGAGGATATTATTCCCACTGATTTTTTTTTTAGAGAGACTGGAAGGGAGGGATTGAGGGGTGGGGAGAGAGAAACATCAATGTAAGAAACATTGTTTGCCTCCTGCACATATCCTGACCCGGACAGGGTACTGAACCTGCAACCCAGGTACATGCCCTTTACTGGGAATCGAGCCTACAACCCTTTGGTGTGTGGGGTGATGCTCTTGTGTGGGGTGATGCTCTAACCACTGAACATACTGGCCAGGGCCTAACAGATTATTTTCAGAGAGACAAATCAATCAAGATTTTTATTTTCTGGTTTTATGGCCATGTGTAGGTCTTTTCTAATTCAAACTTATTATTTTTTATTTATTTTCATTTATTTATTTTTTAAACTATTTTTTAAATTTACTTACATTTTTCTCTAGTATTTTACATGTTTTTAAAAAAACTTTATCTTTAATCCACTTGCATTTACTATAGGTGTGTGTACAGGTATGAGATAGGAATTAGACTTGTTTTTTTCCGAAGTGATAAAATGATAGCTGATAAATAGTAGGTACATTGTACATGACAGGTCCTTCGCTGAGCCTTCTACACATATTAATCTACTTAAGCCTTGCAATAATGCCACCGGAAGGGAGAAGAGATGAAGGAGTGAGGCGGGAGTGGTTATGTAACTTGCCCAAGGTCACAGGAGGTACTAGTGAGCTGGTATTTTAACACAGGTAGTCTTCAGTCTTTGCACCCAACTGGCATGCTGTACCGCCTCTCCCACATGGGAAACCAGTTATTCCAGCACCACTAACCAAACAAACCATCACTGCTTCTTATAACTGGAGAGGTTCTGGACTCCCAACTCTTCCATGAATCTATAAGAATTTCTGCACCAATCATACACTGTTTTAATTACTAGAGTTCTCTTGTCCTTTGTACATTGAGCAATAAAAGTCCCTCCCAATGTTCTACAAAATTTCCTAGCTATTCTCATATTTATTCTTTCAAAACACCAATTCTAAAAACCAAGCAAATACACAAGCAAACAAAAACACATACAGACATGTCGTTTGGATTTTGTTAAATTCATTAAATTTAGGGGAGAATTTGATGCATAATATCTCCTCATCCAAGAAAAAAAAAGAATGTCTCCCTCCCTGTATTCCAGTCTTCTTTAATTTCCCTTATTTTCATTGAACAGTTTTCTTCATAGACATCCTACACATTTCTTTTTAATTTATGTCTTTATGAATAGGGTCATCTTTTAAAATAGTATTTTATAAAACGTTATTGTTAATTAAAACTATTAGCTTTTGTGTATTTATTCTATAACTGACCTCTTTGCTGAACTTTTATTAAAGGTAGTATGGTCATTCTGTTTCAACTGAATCAGTAGTGGTTCATGTTCTAACAAAAGCACGCATTAGAAGGAAACCCGCTGGATGCTATTCACTGGTGACCAACCATCATGCCCTAGTAATTTGAACAATGGCATAAGCACATATTCCTAAATAGAAAGCGGCACAACTGCAAATATATCACACATTTGTAAACTAAAAAGAGACGTGTATTTCTAATCTTTTCCCAGTTGCTTCTCTTGTTTTTCAAAAAGATAGTCACATCCACAATAACTTTACCTCATTTCTAATAGAACATTAAAGTCCTCACTATTGTATATTGTATCTGGTGCAACTGGGACACACACACACACACACCCAGTTGGCTGAAAAGTAGATTAAGGCATGGTATTAAAAAAAAAGTTGAATATACACCCCGTTAAACATTTCACTTCCGTGTAAATTATAGAAATCTACACTCACATGCGCCAATCTTTTAAAGAAAGGTCAAAGCTGTTCTTGGGAGTATGGATGCACTGATGAGAGATCCACAGCTGCCTTTTGAGTCCCAGTCTCTTTAAAGAAGAAGGAGAACTTAAGACTCTAGTAAAGCAGGCCAAGTGCAGAATTTTTACTGGATCTCCCCCAAATCTTAGTTATCCCGCTCACACCTTTTTTGACAGCACTTCTTTTTTAATAACTCCTCTTTTTCAAACCTTTCAAAAGCATCAACTTTCGTTTTCCTGGAAATTCTTTTTTGTTTTTAAATATATTTTATTGATTTTTTACAGAGAGGAAGGGAGAGGGAATAGAGAGTTAGAAACATCAATGAGAGAGAAACATTGATCAGCTGCCGCCTACACACCTCCTACTGGGGATGTGCCCGCAACCCTGGAATCGAACCTGGGACCCTTCAGTCCGCAGGCTGACGCTCTATCCACTGAGCCAAACCAGTCAGGGCAGAAATTCTTTTTTTTTTTTGCTCCTCATAGTTCATCATAATTTTTAACCAACTTATATAATTTTACAATGCTAACTACAAGGACAAAATGAACACACACCTAACTTTTGGTGAATCCAGGCGGGGTGTGAGCAGAAGCAAGCTGTCACTCGGTGGCAGACTCCTGGTGAGGGGGTTCAGTAGCAGTGGCCACCAGCTTTGTGGAGTAGGCTAATCCACCAAACTGCACAAGCGGAAGTCAGTCAAAATGCTTTATTTTAGAACCATCATGGTTAATATATACAATATATAAATACATACGAACATATATATGTATGTGTGCGTAAAATAGTCGTCTACTTCTATTTTGCCAAAGGTTTTTTATTGTTGCTTAATTTTAAAATCTGGAATAGAGTTAAAATTTTATCAAATGTCTTGCTAGCATCTATTAAGATGATCCTGATTTTTCTCATTTGACCTACTGATATTATAAAGTACATTTAAAAGAACTGAAATATTCTTAGATTCCTAGAGTAAATCTCATCTTGTCATGGTATACTCTGTTTTGATGGTTTCCCTTTATCAATATTTTAAAAGTATCTACATTCATAAGTGAGACTGTTATATAGCTTTCTCTTTTTGAAATCTTTTCTCTGACTCTGTCCTTTTTCTCAGTTAAAGAATTATTTATATCAATACAGCAAAAGTGCAGGTATTTGCAAAAAGGCTACCTCTACCAAATGCAGTCAAACCTTGGTTCTCGAACATCTCTCATCTTGAACAATTAGCTTCTCAACCAGACAATCCTTTCATACTATCAGATGCTATCTAATGGCTTGTATAATTATTCATGTGTCTCTCAGGTGATAAATGAGAGGACGTGCTAGTATGAGTCAGTTTACTGTTAAACTTCACATTGTCAACATCTCAGGAAATTGTGCTGTGAATATTATTGAGTTTTTTTTTCTTTTGTTGCTGCTTATTATTAAATTTTCGTTTTTTTAACCTACATTTCATTTCCTTTTTGTTAAATTTACATTTATGTCCTCTTTGTTTTTAAAGTGTTTATTTATAGATTAAACAGTACACTAGACATGTACTGTATATAAGAAAGGTTAAAACAGGGAATCATTTGGGGGTCTAGAATGGATTAATTCAATTTACATTACTTTTAACGGGGAAAAAAAAAGATTTGATTTTTAAATAGGCTTCCAGAACAAATTAAGTTCTAGAACTGAGGTTCCACTGTATAATAATCCTGCTCGTAATTGCTTTGATATTCTTAATAAAACTACTAGGAAAAATCAATATCAGGTTTTCAGGGGCTTCCAAGTCAAAGGAGTGAATCCTATTTTCAAGGACATCATGGGGGTGAGAAGCAGCAAAGGAGGAGGCCAAGCGTGATTTCAGGTGCACTTCCCCTCTCCTTCCACCAATTTTGTAACAAGTCCTGTTAGAAAGAACTTTGATCTGATGAATAAAAGAGGCTTAAAACAAAAATAGATCAACTAAAAGCCAATCCCTTAATATAAATTTTAATAGTCCATAAAACTAACCACTTTTTGAGTAGTAAGGTTAAAAAATGTATATCAAATAAAGCAGAAAAGCATGAGTTTTTAAATGAACAAAGGAGTCTCTTGAAATAACGAAACATCTAATTTAATTATACCTGGCATTTTTATCAATTACACCAAGAATATAAGCTAGACTCTGTTTTCTCTTACACTATCTCAAAATTCATCTAGCTCAGTCTTTTCTTAAGTGCTTCACCCGGTTTCTTTTGTTAGTTTAAACGCCTGAATATAAAATCGTTTTTAGAGACTACCGATTTCTAGCTCCACGTGAAAACAGCAAATTGTGCAGAGGTTTGATTTCTGTTGTGGCTGGTGGACTATGAAAGGGAAGATGGGAGTGTCAACAGAGCCTGGGAGATCTTTTCAGTCCTCACACTTGGCTTTTTTGGAAGCTGGAAGAGAATCATCATTTCCTTCCGATGGCCGAGGTTTCTTCACGGTGGAAATAATTCCAAAAGCAGTTTTCCTAGTTTCTACAAAACAAAGAAGGAAACCAGTGCTTGAAGTTCAGACATGATTTAAAGAGGTAGATGAACAAGTATCACCATGTTGCTTTGACTGACAGCACTAGTAAATGATAAAACCATCATGAAGTACTGAGTGCTGATGGCATTTGGTGTTATTACCCCTCCCCTGTCCCAAATATACAAACATCAATATGTCACCAACATCTAATTCATTCCTAAGGATTACTTCAAGGGTAAAACTGCACGGCTGGTTATCTCTAATGGTTTGTCCATGGCATCTTATACAGCCAGAACCCAAGTCACAGACCCTAGTGCAGCAGATGCTTTACATGTGGGAGAAAGACGGATAAATCACCAGAGCAAGTACAACCGTCAACTGTACTTCCTCCAGTGTGTGCTCACTTCATTTTACAGCATGTACCACAGCTGTCATCCCTGCTAGATCATCAATGTACCTCTGAAGATTCCACCGTATTTACTGCCTGGTTATGTAATAGGTGTTCAATAAATACTTGAGTTAATGAAGAAAATGAAACTCACATGTTTATCGATCTCACAGATTGGTGATGATGAACAAAAAAAAAAAATAGGATTATTAGATGTTTAGGTCAGATTGGCAGCAGAGTTCAACTTAAATTTAGCCAACTTGTGCTAAAAATCTACTAGTGGGCCAGGCACTGTGTCATCTATAAAGGATATAAAAATGCCTAACGGTGCTTCTTCCCACAACACACTGAGATAAGTTCACAAGGGGCAAATATAACAAGAATTAACTCTGCCTGGATAAATCAAGGAAGGTATCATAAAAGAGGTGACTCGCTCTAGCTGGTTTGGCTCAGTGGATAGAGCGTCGGCCTGCGGACTGAAGGGTCCCAGGTTTGATTCCAATCAAGGGCACATGCTCAGGACGCAGGCTCAATCCCCAGAGGGGGGTATGCCAGAGGCAGCTGATCAATGATTCTCATCATTGCTGTTTCTCTCTTTCTCTTCCTCTCCCTTTCTCTCTGAATCAATAAAAATACACATATAAAAAAATACAAGAGGTGACTCTAGGGAGGAAAGAGGGGGCAAATGGAGAAGGAAGTATTCCTTTGCAAAGCCATGGAGAGAGAGAGGGGAAAGAAGAACCTAGTATGGTTAGGGGACAACATGGCTGGTGTGAAGGAAGAATGTAAAAACATCAGGGAGAAATGAGGCTGGCAGAGTAGCTTGGGAAGAGCTATAATACCATGTGAAGAGATTAAAACTTAGTCCTTAGGAAGTGAGAGGACCTAGGGAGAGATCCATTAGCTATGAAGGAGGTAAAACCTAAAGAACTCAATAAACATAAATTTAGTTAAGAATTATTTATTTCAAGTAATAAAAGTAAAGTCAATTTTAAAGAGCTAAGCGTTACCTTTTCATTTGTAAGGATTAACTTGACAAGTCTACTATATTTTTGTCAGTTATTTAAAAGCATTTTAATATATAAAAAGGACAAAACTGCTCTTGAGGTCATTAAAATGACAAAATAATCAGAGAGCCTCAAATTAAATAGAAAGTGCCAATAATTTCCATTTCACCAAATGGAAAACGTATTTAGAGATGTTTATTTGTATCACTATGGTTTAAGCAAAAATCTAAGAATCAGGTAAATAAATAAAAAATATAAAAATTAAATTGTGAAAACCAACACTTTGTAACAAAACAAAATACATTTATTTTCAAAATTCTTTTAGTTCCATCTCAGAAATGTTCTATTTTTAAATCACATGGATATTTACTTCTTAATTCAAGCTTATAATTATAAATTAGACCTTTATAGTTATCAGCTAAAGTGTAAGTCTTTTGAAAATACATTTATTTTTGTAATAGCAAGAAGTTACATTTGTATAGGGCTTTAGTTTTCACATACAGGGATTGTCAAGGAAAATCTACAACTACCTCTAAAGCACTTATCTATGAGTGCACTATTTTGTCCAAGAGGAATAAAGTCAGGTGTGCCCAACAGGTCCATCTTGGTCCAATGGCTGCTTGAAAACACCAACTTCATCAACCACTGGCCGGATCCTCTGGCCGTGAACCTTTCTTCTGTCCCTTCCCCACAACCTCAGAACTGCTATTCACTGGTTCCTGGAAACCTACAGGACCCATCTAATTCTGAATCCCTGCGGCAAGACTTCCAACGCTGAAAGCCAGTTACTGTGTGTCCCAAGTTTTCTGTTTTCAAGGTATCCATTCTTGCACTGCTTTCAATATTGCCCTCATGAGAAGGTTTCCAGGCGCTCTAAGAACCCATTACCATCTTCTGGTAGGGCTCCAGGGCTCTGCTGTCCTTAAATGTGGCACTAAGGGTGATACAGATGCCAGCTGGAACTTCATCAGTGCAGGGGACAATACTGAGGCCTTGTCTCAGAATCCTTTCTTTCTTGCAATGTAACCTAAGGCTAAATTAGCAATCTTAGGAATACACCACACAACTGTCTCATACTATCCCAATGTCAAGTGAAACCAGGGTGACTATAATTTATCCTCTAGATGTATGGTTAATTCTGCAGGACAAGCATAAACTAGGCCTATCCTGGGCACACTAGAGTGAATGGCAATGCTACCTGAAGTCCACAAGTAATTTAGTTCAGCTACTATAAAAGCCCAGCTTTACATAGTTAAGTTTTTTGTTGTTGTTGTTATTTTTTTTTTAAGGTAAATGCAGAACTGCAGATTTCCCCCTATTTTTAAGTTCCCCTTTCTTGCTTTAGTCTACTTTGGAACACGAATTGTTATCCAAACTCTTGATGATTCCTTACATTCATTTAAAATAGACAAAGATAACCAAAGTGTGAACCAACTGTTCCCTAATTTCAAGAAAATTTCGATAAAATCCTGATTAATTTCGTCATTCCCAGAGCTTAATGTGATGGGGTCTAGGCTACATAATGCAACAATCTCATACTAAACATTTTGAAACCAAAAGCAAAATTAAGTAATTCATGGTAAGTCAGTACAGTAATCAATTCTCTCAATGGAAATCAGATCACTAAAATCTAGACACAACACACAGGACTTCAGTAACTTAACTAGTATGTATATGCCAAATAACTTTGTCGATACGTAGCAACTTATTCTGAAGTTTAAATTCCTCTGGGTGATATCAAGTAAATTGTTTTTTGACCCTACCATTAGTGCTAAAAATTTCAAAGAGAATGAAAATAAAACAGAAAAGTCTAAACTAAAAAAAAATAAAACCTCATTTTCATTCTTCAAAATCTAGACATACCATATACTTCTAATTTAATTTTTATCATCTGATGAATGAGAAATTTTAAATGGCTTCTAGTAGTGAATTAATGTGAAGAGAAAGATATGAAAATAAAACAGAAAAGTCTAAACTAAAAAAAAATAAAACCTCATTTTCATTCTTCAAAATCTAGGCATACCATATACTTCTAATTTAATTTTTATCATCTGGTGAATGAGAAATTCAATGGCTTCTAGTAGTGAATTAATGTGAAGAGAAAGACACATGTAAATGAAATGTGAGTAAAAAATGTATAGTCTGCACATACTTGATCATGCGAACAAAAAATGAAAAAGAATCACAAGCTGTAATAAATGTGAAGAGGTACAATTTGAGTTTGTTAGTTGGGTTTTTACAATGCCTTTGCTGTTTTTATGTTCTTAATAAGTGGCATAACATATTGTTAACATTTCAGTTCTTTAAAACAGTGATTTCCAGGAGGGAAAGAGTGCTCCTATGGAGAGGAGGGAGGAGAAAGGAAGAGTAGAAGCCTATCAAAATACAGGCAGGGACATCCATGCAGAGCTTGAAAGGATGCACTCAATACTCATTTCTGTAATACAAACTATTCATTCCACAAACTCCAGAAAGTAAAGCCTGAAGCGAAAGATGAGAAAGCACTGCTGGGTATGGTTAAAGCAGGTTGGGAAAAGATGACCCTAAAGGAACTCTGCAGGGAAAGATAATAAAAGTGGATATGGCGCAATGGTCTGATAAAAATGACTGGCTCCTCACATGACCACTGGATAGTTTTGTTGGAAGAACTTGCTCACCTCCGTGGAGAAGCGCTGCTCGGCAGTTGGTAGACACTGCAGCCTTGGCATCACTTTCAGAGAGTCCAAACAGCAACCCTCTGTGGGGTCATTAAGGATTTTAATGGAGTCAGCCAAGGACAGGAATCTAACACAAACATAACTGACAATGCCAGCTCACCTGGTCATACTGAGAGAGAGACTTTAATTCTATCGCAGTTCTTAGCCCAAATGGAACATGCTTTTGAAAAGAGGCTCATTTAACTAAGCTTTTTAAATATAGTCCCTCATTCTTGTTCTCCTTTTTCTATCTCACCCTTAGTCCAGAAAACAAAAGGATAAAGCTATCTAGAACCTGATGTAATTTGTTTTTGAAATTAACTGGTAAACCTACAGTAAAAGGTTAAGAAAAATATCTTGTTAAAGTATATCATTTCAAATTCCAATTTTCCTAAGAGAAAATTTCAGTAACTTCTGACTCAGAAAAGGATACAAGTTTGCCACATCATATGGACCTCTTATTTCTAAAGGCTAAAATAAAATGAAAAACAAAAACAATAAAAAACAAAAAACAGACATGAGTGCTGCTATTCATAACGTTTCAAAGACTTCATCTACAGTGAATTAATAAGATGATTAAGTGTCTAAAAATAAGGAATTCAATTGCATAAATTTAAGTTTTTATAATTTTGATTGTTTTTAAGTTTCTGAAAATATAAAAGAACCTTAAAAAGCATTCTATAACAGTATAAAAAAACCTATTTATATAAATAAAACTTGAAGCCCAAAAGAAATGGGGATAGATTTTACTCTTCAGCAATTACAATGAGCAAATACAGTTAAAATGAAAACATGCAATAAACATTCATTATATTACTATTTTACTTTCTCCCCTAGAAACTTTTCCAAGTTTTATAGCTTGAAAAGCAAAAACAAAATACCTAGTGGCAGACTTACCCTTTCTGCAGCACTAGATATAATTACATTCTACAAAACAGAAAGTGATCAATATTAATCTTAGAGGTTCAAAAAAATTGAAGAGTCTTATATGACAAATAATCAGTATTCACATTTTAACATTTAAGGCTCTATAAACACCAACTTCTTTTCAAGACAAGGTAAGTAATTAACGTGAAAGAATAAAAAGCCCTCATGTCAAACTAAAGGCAGCGTATAATAATAAGCAGAACAGGTTTTCCCAACAGATCTTAGAAAAGATGAATTCATTTTAAAAACTAGTTGAGAAGGTCATATAAACGAAATTCAACTCACTGATGACAAAAAATTATTACCTACACTATTCTTTTCAGTGGCTAAACTGCAAATTCCTTATGGAAAGATAAAGGCTTTCAACACATCTTTCCCTCCTTCACATTAATCTTCTCCCATTATTTTCTTCCCCTTAAAACTTACAGAGTTCATTGAAATAGGAGAATTTATTCCTGTGCCATGACAACTTTCTTCTTTAAGGAAAAGGAATCAGTTTGATAATCTAGTGGATTAATAATAATAAACTGCTGGATTTGAAAGATACCCTACAATTAGGAAACCATACCTTTCCTTTGCAGACTTGCACCAAATTGAGGGCATTGGAAATTGTATACCTTCTCATTGTGGAGTCTTTGATAGCTGGGCTGTAGACAAGTTCAAAACTTAATGTGTTAAGCAGACTATTTCCCCCTGAACAGTAGTTGAACCAGCAGACAGATGAGAGTTGAGCAAATACTAGTCCAGGGGTCCTCAAACTACGGCCCGTGGGCCACATGCAAATACAAATATTGTATTTGTTCCCGTTTTGTTTTTTTACTTCAAAATAAGATATGTGCAGTGTGCATAGGAATTTGTTCATAGTTTTTTTTTAAACTACAGTCTGGCCCTCCAACGGTCTAAGGGACAGTGAACTGGCCCCGTTTAAAAAGTTTGAGGACCCCTGCTCTATACTCTCCACAGCCCACCTCCTGCTTGTTGAAGTATAGCTTTAAACAAAGGCGAATTTACGCCCAAATAGCATCATCCACAGAAGAAAACAGATCTGTCTCTATCTGATCACAGAGTTTATCTTAGCTGTGGGGAGGCTGACTTTATATAAACAGGAATCATGAAGAGGTTATGGTGAGCAAAGTCCCAGTGGGGTGGCAAAAAGGCTGTTATTCCATGAACTACCAAAAGAAAAGAAGAGATGTGCTCCCTATACTTAGGATAAACTATTTGCAAACAAGTAATTTGACCCCAAAATGAAGAAACTAAAAAACGAAGAGCTGAAAAATTTCCAAAGAACAGGGGTGGAAGGCCTCTTAGGTAAGTCATTTATTAGATATCTGTTGAATGAAGGACTACAAATAGCCATGGTTGAGTGTTATGTGTCAGGCACTGTGCTAAGAGTCTTATATATGTATTTAGCCCTTATAATAAATAACCACTATAAGGCATTATGGCAGAGATTGCTAATTGCCCCTGATATCTGTTCTCCCCCTTTTCTTTAGTGAGTCCCTAATTTTAAACTGTATTCATGGATGTCCAGCAAAAAAGATAGGATACTCTTGGTGCCACAGTTAAATGTCCACCCCATTTTTCCTGCCCAGCTTGTACATCTTGAGAGCTGGTATAATGCTTCTTTGTAACTCACAACTGACCTTTATACAAGTGTTTAATATATTTACATTCTAAGAAAATAAATCGTAGCTTATGAAAAAGAGGCGATGTGATAATGCTGATTATCCATCATAAAAGAAACCAGGATGAACTTGGCAAATTGAAATTCAGATAAACCAAAGACACCTCCTTTAGCCATATTCTCAATTATTCCCCTAGCTATTTCTCTTGACAAAAGTACTAGTTAGCCAGAGGATGCCATTTTTTTTTCTCTTCTCATCTTCTAGTTGCTGATCTAAAACACAAGACAGTGGCTGGAGAAGAGGGGAAACAAAGGATGTGGATGACACATAGAATGACACATAGAACTAGATGACCAGGTGCCTAAGTATTCTTAATTGTGACTAAAATTTTCCCCCCACCACACCATGGGGACCAGATCAAAATTAAACTTTTTTTTTGGAGGGGGAGGGGGAGAGAAAAAGGAATATAATTATCAGCTTAATTATTTTTTAAGAAAAAAGTTCTGATTGTGATCTTAAGTACATCAGTCGTTTACCTTAAAATTGCTAACAAAACTGAGACAGAGAAATTAAAGATAATGTGCTACTGGATGTTGTGAACATTCCTTTCATAACACTTTAAATTTTTAGATAAAGTATAGACTCATTACCAGGGCCCTTGCTTCTAAGACCATTTTAATGAAAATTGCCTTAAGCTCATCAAATGGTTGTTCATAACAGCCTTTCATAAAGAATGACAGTGCCTGTGTGATTGGCTTTTGTTCACTTCTCTGACCAAAGGTTCTAAAACAGGGAGATTTCTTTACTAATGAGAAATAACGTGGTAATGACGTTGCAAACCAAGGGCAGATGTGTGATACTTGAATCAAGAGATACTGATGGTAAAAAAAAGACCAAAAAAAAAAAATATTGATGGTAAAATTCCAAGAACTAAGCTTAAAAGAATGAAGAAAGAAAGAAAATAGGGAGTTGATTACTGAGATAATATCTGAATTCCGTTAATTTCATAAAAAATCAGTTATTTATTGAATTCAAAGGATGACACCCTTGGTGTATCACTCTTTAAGACAGGTAATTTGTGCCCTAGCCAGTTTGCTTAGTGGCGAGAGGGTCAGCCTGCAGACTAAAGGGTCTCAGGTTAAGTTGCAGGCTCGATCCCTGGCCCTGGTGGGGGCACATGCAGGAGGCAATGCGCTAACCACTGAGCAAAAACAGCGAGGGCTATCATTAGTCTTTTAACTTTATTTCTGTAGGTTTTTTTTTGCTATACAAAATTTTGATGCTGGCACTGGCCCAAGCATTAGATCAATGAAGTACTTAACACATTTCAGTTCCCAATATATGTGTGATAAAAAAATAAAGTTTATAGAGCACTCACACCCAATCAAGTATATATGGCATGATTCCTGGACCAACCAACCTCACTGCTTCAGACACTATTTACAGGACATCTCTCAGTGGGGACTAATTGGACCATGAAGATAGAAATGGATTAGGGTTAAAGGAAGTGCTGAGGGAAAACTATCAGAAAGAGAGCATAACACATACAAACACCGAAAATAACTCAATATACTTGAAGTCATTGTTGAATGGCAATAACACTGAAAAAACATCAAAGGGAAAGTAAAGATATGTGCTGCTTAAGAAACATTCTCGAAACCCGAATCCATAAAGATTATGTTTTAAAATATGAAATTATTGTGTGCTTAAAGAGCTCTGCTATAATTTTCCATAGCATTTCCCAGTGGTGCGAAATGACAGCAGGTAGAATAAAAGCTTGAGTACAATTGCCAACGCAAGCCTTTGTGAGAGAAGTCTATCTGTGTGAGTCACACACTACCTGAGTTTCAATTTCAATTCCATTATAGTGGAGTAATTCAAGCCCTGACCCTAAAGCTGCTGGGCTAGAGTAGGTGTAAAAGTGCTTAAACTATAAATGCTAAATAATTAGAAGTCATTTGATTATCCGAGGAGCTAAATTCAATTTTTTAGAAACCCAATTATCACATAATAAATGTATGTGACTCCCATACTCTGGACCACTGGTCACCAGCTGGTGGTCTGCAGACCACTGGTGGTCCGTGAGGTCCGAAAGGTTGGTGACCGCTGCTCTAGACTCCAGAAGAGGTTTGTAGGAGTCTTTAGAAGGAATTACATCATTGAAATTATGGTGCCCCAAGCATGTGAAGATTACAAAAGGGACAAGAGCTATGAATTATACAAGTGAAGTGCTTTTGTATACCTGAGCCCGCCTTCATAATCCCAAACTTCTATGCTGACAATTCTCACATGGCTTCTAGCCTCTAGGTAAAAGACTAATGAATTCCCTGTTTTAATCTCCCACTTTTCACCACCATAAAAGAAAAGAGCACAAATCCAATCCAAATGAAGATCTATGCTGTTTCCTCATGTGCCTAATGAAGGGATCCTTGTAAAGCCAACCTATCCCCTTTTCATGGCCAAAGACAAGTTCATCCTTAAGGCCAAAGGAGCAGGCAAGGACCAAGACTTAAGGCTGAATTGTTAACCACATTCACTCCATGTTCTGTGCTTTCATGGTGAACATACTCCCCTACACATACAGCTCCATATCCAGATTAGATATTATCAGATACAAATAATACATACACAGCTATCCAACTATTATTTACCCTGAACAAGCAGCTGGACATCTCTTACCATATGTTTCCAGCTTCCTCTCTCTTAAATGGGAACTAGGTGAATAAATTCATGGGGACTCTTCTTCCTGACCAGTTCACACTGCAGCCTACTTCTATATTAGGTAGACTGAAAATAATCTCGTGCAGTCCTTCTCTCCACTCCATCATCTAGTTTTTATTAAACAACATATGTAAAGTGTTCACACCAGATTTTTTAAAAAGCAGACACTGTGTTAAATACTGCATATCCCTCTCACTTGTCAAATTTTCACTTTTCAGAATTCTTAAATTGAAAAATGTGGGAATTAAGCCAAAAATATCATCAAACAGCAGCAGCCTTCCTGCATTTACAGATGAATTGGGGGGTGGGATGTCCTATTGCTGCTGCCTCCTCATGCCATCCCAGTGCCCCACTTCCCTCACCTGCCAACACTGACTTCGGGCTAATGACTCGGACAAGCAGGATTTGGCCAGGTTCCCCAAGCTGCACTTTGATATGCTAGGCGAGGCACATATTCATCCAACTGAGAAGTTTCAGGGAGGACCCACTATAGGCACAATATTGGGATAATTTAAAAAGGATGCCCATGACACAGCTGGTGCTCTCTGGAAGCTCACAGTCTGGGTTGAACAAAGGGCACTTTGGTTTGAGAGCCCTCACCAAGAAGCCACTGGGAAGCTCACCCTGTTGTGGGACATAAGGAATTGTGTGCACTGCTATCCATTCTACGGATTTGGCCTCAGCATCACGGTACTACCTTCTCCCAACAAGGACACAGCGGTGCTGTATGTGGGCTGATTCAGGCAAAGCCATCTAGAAAATAGCCTTCCTAGCTCATTAAGGTGAAGAAGAGAAAGGTAAAGGGCTTTAAGTTTAATAGCAATTTACAGAGCCGCTGCACTGGCTAACGCCAGGGGGTGCCTTTTATACAGCAACGGGATTGGCAGTGTGAGGCTTTGGCAGACTTCTAGAGCCAGAGATGTCGACTTCTGGAGAGGAGCCACCTGTGAGGCCAACAAGACTGTTGTAGGCCTGGGTACTGGAGGAGGCTATGCCTTTTATCACAGGTAGCGGGGCATGGCAGGGGGCTCACGTGACAGGGAATCAACAGAACTGTCCGGACACTGTGACTGAAGAGCTCAATGGCTTCTCCTTGCCAGTCTTCATTTCACCACGTCTGCTAAGTGGGCTGTTAACACAGATCTCCAACTCTTAAACTGTGACGATTCAGGTGTTTTGTTTTGTTTTAGCATTTATTTATTTATAAGCACTGGCAAGAATGTGGGGAAATGATGATTTGAACTTAAGCAATATTGTTATATGTTCAGTACTCCTCTCAATATTTATCAGAAAAGAGCTGTTTTATAGTATTCCCTTTAAATATATGACTTTAAAATTTTGGGTACTTTTCAAGTACAGTTTTAGTAGCACATTTTAAGGGGCAGAACATAAGCCAACTAAAATTTTTACACACTGAATTCAATTTTTCCGCACCACATAGATCAATTTTCTCTTCATTGTCTCCCCCTATTCCTGGAATCAAGCCAATTCCTTAGCAGCAGAGACAGGAAAACAACTTGAGGAGACTGTGATTCTACAGAGACAAAAGGACAGTTATCTACCTTGAAAAAATAGATTAAATTTTTAATTTTCCAATTCTGACAGGATTAGGTATATAACCTGGATTGTTTATTTCTCCTTCCATAATACTTTCTGAGAATGGGAGACTAAGCTTTGGAAGCCACTCTTCCAAAATAGCATCCTCCCCCTTCCTAGGGTCTGGCTGCTGATGAAAACAGTTAACAGCTGTTAGTGATGTGAAATATCACCTTTATGACGGAATAAGACTCACAAGACGGCATGACAGATGGAAGAGAAAGGGGAGGGAAGACGAGAACTATGTAGAAAGGTACCATATAGAAAGGTACTGAGAAAAATTCTATAGCAGAGGGAGGAACAAAAAGTCCCCGGAATGCATGGCTCCCCTCTTAGATAATTACAAAGGTAACCCGGCTTTTGTGTAAACCAGCTTGCTTCAGTGCAGCTTTTCATTGCGCATGGACCATGCCTGCTATGCTTTCCATGCATGCCCTCCCCCAGCTCACTGGTGCCTCAGGGATCCCCAACATTATTTCCCTTCCCCTTCTTTCTTGACTTCTGTCCCCTTAGTGTTCAATATTCAGGCAGTAAGTGTCCAATACTGTTAGCGTTCCTTCCAAGAAATATCCTTCATAGATTTTGATTTGTAAAGCCTTTCAAAAACATCTCCATAATTTACTGAAATTTTTATTTTATTTTAAGCTTTCTTTTCTCGTTTAGTCAGTTTACAAAAATAAAAATCCTCTTAAAAACGCTTATTTAGCCTAGCCCAGTGGTCGGCAAACTGCGGCTCGCGAGCCACATGCGGCTCTTTGGCCCCTTGAGTGTGGCTCTTCCACAAAATACCGACTTCTGCACATGGGCCACGAAGTTTCAATCGCACTGTACGTGC